AACAGGGAAGAAATGAGAAACAGAGGTCTTTGCTTAGGAGCCAAAGGCCACCTTCTGTAAGATGAAATAGTCTACAAGTGGCCTTGAACTCTGCCGTGATTCAGTGACAGAGTTCCCTCATGTCGTCTACCCACAGTGAAGTCCAGCAACACTGCGACTGTCTTCTTTACAACTTGCAAGACATGCTGCTTCTGCATTTGCCTGTTGTATGAGATTTACACTTGTTTTAGCCACGTTTTGTTTCTGTTGGGCTGATGGCCATACACTGCACTAGCCAGTCAATAGTGAGATGGCTCCTCAGGGAGGCGGCTTGGCTTGAGGCTGAGGGTCTTTAACCTACATGCACAAGAGAGTTGCCACGAGGGGACGGAAGCCAGGCTAATAACTACTGTACAGAGTTCCCATCTGTCCCTCCTCACCATTTTCAGCTGGCAGGATTTGAGCATTTTAGGGCTTGGGAAGATAATATTACTAAATCTACTAAAATACATCACCCATCCTTATAGGCTTTGGCCAGTTGCTGAGCAAATTAACTTCACAACTGAAGTGGGCCGCACTGGCCTGCGTGGTCCCCCGCTTCTCTTAGAATCTGTGAGTGTGGGGCCTACTGGAGGGTGGGAGGTGGGAGGAGCGGGAGGATCAGGACAAATAGCTGATATTAGGCTTAACATATGGGTGATGAAATGTGTACAACAAACTCTCAACACACGTTTATGTATGTGGCAAACCTGCACTCCCTGCACATGTACCCCGAACTTTAAATGAAAGTTAAAAAAACAAAAACAAAAAACAAAAAACACAGGCTCTGTGAGCTGACCCAAACCCCCGGGGATCTTTGTGCTTGTGACACACTGATAACTACGCTGGTCGGTGGGGAGACGTGCCCTGGGTCGTGTGACCACAGAGGCCACTTTATGGTGATGGGCAGGGTCTGGGACCTCTTAGGCTCTGTGCTTTAGGGTTTATACACGAATGCTGGATTCCCTGCATGGTGGCGAACACCCCATGACTAAGTGCATGTCAGCGTCAGCACTGGCCCCCTCTCCTGGGTTCGTGTTTTCACCTTCTCATTCACGAACTCGGGAGCTGGGGCCACTCCCTTGGCCCTTCAGGTTCTCCACCTGAGCAGTGGGGATAAGAAGCCAGACCCAGGGATGGCTCTGGTGAGGGTGGAGGAGTCACTGTACAGAGAGAGTAGAGGGGGATGGATTTTATTGTTGGAAGTGGACACTGGTGATTGAGTTGTATAAATGGGAAATCTCTCCTGAGAACACACACAGCCACACACCCCCCACATGATGCAGCCTCACACAAGACACCACCAATCGTCAAGCACCCAACTCAGTACCACCCAAAAGGCAGCACAGCTGCTTCCTCAAAAATTGGCGATAACTTTTTCCCTGGGGAACTTGGGTTTTTTAAAAACACTTCCACTCTGCTTATTCCTATCCCAATCCCAGGCTCAGGGTGGCTCTTCACATTGAAACCTGCAAGGATGCCACACCTTTCTTTGCATCCAGATTGTTTTCTTTGCAAGTAATTCCAGAATACTTACTAGAGTCACACCTCAGAGGGACCACCTGCATCACCTGCAATACAGAAACAAGACTTCATGTGGGGTACGTCGTGTTGTGGATTGTTTGCACAAGGCTCTGTTTCTCTCAGTGAATACTGAAAACAAGATCAGAAAGCGTGGTCAACTTCAAGGCCCCCCAAACAAGGGTAGGATACACACTGGAAAAGATATCAGCTTCTGGATGGTGGATCTCTCAGGTCCACGTAGCTTGGCAAGTGCAAAATACTGAATCCAAGGAGAAGACATTGCTTCCAAGGACAAGGACCCCAAGGATACAGTGTACAACCTGCAGCCGTCATAGGTAAATGCCATTTTGGATTACATATCAGTTGCTAAGAGTCGCTTCTTCTGTCCCCTCAGAACACTGCATTTAATATCTGTAACGGACATTGTCGTTTTTTCACATGTAAAGTCAGTTGAACAAGAAAGACGCCAAGAAAGGAACATTTCTATTTCGGGGAAAGGAAAGCAACCTTACCCTCGTATTGACCGGCCTATCTCCATCTCCTCTGTCCTTGAGAGCTGGAGACTCCTCAGAGGCTAGGAGGACACAGAGCAATGGTTAGTCATAGATGCTTTTGTTCATGAGTTATTCAGGGAGCTCTGCTTAATGTGGACAACACGACAGTGTGTGTGGATGTGTTTCATTAAAAGCACAGCTTGAGCTGCTGCTAAAAAATCTTCCCTCATTGAAAGACAGAGCAAGGAGCTGAGGAGCGAGAAACAGAGTCCCTGGCATTTTGCTGATGGCAACTTAAGGCAACGGCAATGAGTCAGTCTACAAATGGTACTGAAGCACACGCTATAATCAGATGAGAGTCCCACTGCTCACACTGTGAGGTTTGAAAGCCAGCTAAATGGTTTTCTAAATCCTGTAAAATAGTGTTAGCTTATAGGATTTATGTCCCAAGACCATTTTTACCTCTGTGGAACCACACTGGCTGTCACTGCAGTTATTATGTTTTAGCATTTTGCACTTGAATAAAAGCAAAGTTTAGTAGACAGATTGGATTCAATTCTAGGCAAAACAGTCTACTGTATTTATTCACTAACCCTTTGTTATAACTGCTGATGGAAGAATTGGAAATACTGAAGTTATATCCTTTAAAATTTATTAAAGCATAATTATTAATCACACAATATTTTTCCATCCAGACCTCCTTTTCTTCGTCATGCATGCATATTAATTGAGTATGGAGAATATCTGTGCTTGTTCAGGCCAGCCAACATTGGACTGTTTATTTCAAGAGAGGAGACATGGGTTGAATGCTGGTATGTCTTAACTCTGCAGCACAAACAGTTGCAACAAGTGTGGTGAACTAATCACCAAACAGCCCTTTGCTGCCTTATCTGTCATTGTGGTTATGTGTAGCTTGCAGGATTTGATTACGCCTGTTCTGTGGTGATAATACTTTCAACTATTCCTAAAATATTGCTTCAGTCTTATCTGTTTGGGGCCAACTGCTGAGGATTTCATACAAATTAATGAATTTTGTGCATCTAAAGTTCTACAAAAGGGGGAAATATTTGCAAATCATTTATCTTGTGAGACTAAAATGTAGAACATATTTTAAACCTCCCAACAATCTAAAACAAACTAAATAAAAATCAGAGAACTTTTTTTTTCTTTTTTTTTGAGACAGTCTTGCTCTGTCGCCCAGGCTGGAGTGCGTGGTACGATCTTGGCTCACTGCAAGCTCCGCCTCCCAGGTTCACGCCATTCTCCTGCCTCAGCCTCCTGAGTAGCTCTGACTACAGGTGCCCGCCACCACACCTGGCTAATTTTTTTGTACTTTTAGTAGAGATGGGGTTTCACCGTGTTAGCCAGGATGGTCTCGATCTCCTGACCTCATGATCTGCCCGGCTCAGCCTCCCAAAGTGCTGGGATTACAGGCGTGAGCCACCGCGCCTGGCCCCAGACAACTCTTTAAAAATTGGCAAAAGACTTGAACATATAGTTCCCTAAAGAATATACACCCACGGATAATGGCATAGGAAAAGCTGCTCAGCATCAATAGTCATTAGATAAATGCAATTGAAAAACACAAGTAGACACCAATATACTAGGATGATTTAAAGGAAAGTAAGTGTGGACAAGGATGTAAAGAAATTGTAACCCTGATACATTAGCTGGTAGAAATGGATAAAGATGCAGCCACTGTGAAAAACAGTCTGCAATGGCTCAGAAGGTTAAATATATAACTCCCTTTAGACCCAGGAATTCGACTCAAGTATATACCCCAAAGAATAGAGAACAGAAATCAAACAGATATTTGTACACTAATGTTTACAGCATCACTTCTCACAGGAGCCAAAAGGTGGAAATAATCCAACTATCAATGAACAAATGAATGTAATAAAAGCAAGGTGATCTACATGCAATGGTATATCATCCATCTGTAAAAAAGGAACACAATTTTGATAGATGATACAACATGGGTGGACAGTGAAAATATTGTGCTTAGTGAAATAAGCCAGACACAAAAGGAATATATTGTCTAATTGTACTTATATGAAGTGCCTAGAATAATCAAATTCATACAAGAGAAGGTGGGATAGGAATTACCATGAGCTGGAAATAGGGAGAAGGCGAGATATTGCTTACTGTGGACAAGGTTTGTAAGAAATCATCAAAATCGTGGGTGTAGATAGTGGTGTTGGTTATGCAACACTGTGAATATTTTTAATGCCACTGCATGCACACTTTGGTTAAAAGGTTCAAATGATAAATATTGTGTTATGTATATTTTCCCACAGCAGAAAACACACACAGCCAAGCCCAGATACCAGTCTTGCTAGCAGCCTTCCTTTACCTTCGAGACCGGGCCAAGGCTCACAGTACTTTGGAATCTCGTGCTCGAAATAGTCTGCATTGAAAGAGAAATTAATGGAGAGAGGAGAAAACTTCAGAATCCACACTACTCACTCTGCAGGGCCAAGAACTCTGTCTCCCGTGCACTGCTGATCCATCTCAGTATTTCCTATGACCACTTCCTTTTTCAACTGAAGACTCTGCACCTGAAGGGGTTCCCAGGTTTTTCACCTTGGCCCTTGTCAGGACTGATCCTCTCGGCTACTGTCCATTTCACCTCCATTCATGTCCATGCCACATCAGGCTGTGTTGTCCAGATGGAATGAATCCACCCCAAATGTCCCTTTCTGGAGGAAGCCACCATGATGCTGTACCTCCAACACGTCCACACACACCGAGGCACCTCGCTCACGCAAAAGGTGTGTGTCCTCCAGCCAAGTTTCATGCTGTAAACCCAGGTAACTTTTGAAACCCAAGTTTTGTTGATTCCCCTACTTCAGGTGCTCCATAGATGCTCGTTTGTCTACAGAACCCTGCCCCAGGCAGTTAAATAGTCCAAAGTGACCGGCAGAATTTTTCTGTTAATTCTGACTTTGTGTTGTGAGAACACGTGTTTTTTCCCCCTTAAAATTTCTGTGTTACTGATAAAAGTATGTAACTGATAATGCTTTTTTCAGCTATGTTGCCAAGCACATTTATATAAAAATAGACTCTTAGATTGTTTTGAGAATTTGATAAAGATGACAGCAACAATGATAATCGTATTTGTTTTACACTAATCTTTATGTGTTGCTTTCATCATTTCTTACATGTTGAGGCCTACCATACACTGTGCAATGAAATTAGTGCTATAAATCATGGTCGAAATATAAATTGGCAAAGCTAATTTAGAAAATAGTTCTGTTTCTTAAAAAACTTAGGCCAAGCATGGTGGCTCATGCCTATAATCCTAGCACTATGAGAGGAAGAGGTGGGTGGATCACCTGAGGCTAAGAATTTGAGATTCGCTTGGCCAACACAGTAAAACCCTGTCTCTAATGAAAATACAAAAATTATCCTGGCATGGTGGTGTGTGCCTGTTGCCCCAGCAACTCAGAACAATGAGGCATGAGAACTGCTTCAACCCGGAAGCCACTGCACTCTACTCTGGGTCTCAAAAAATGTATATATTGACCAAAATATCATTATGCATTACATGATTACATATGAATGCTCAAAGCTGCATTACTCATCATAGAAAAAAACCACAATGAAATGTCCATTAACTAATAAATGAATGAACACTATCTGTGTGAATAAACACAGCAGACTATGAAGGAAAACACACGACCAGCACGTGCTACAGCGTCCACTCACTTCAAACACAGTGTGCTAAATGAAGGAAGCCAGATTCCAAATATATATATATATGTCCGTTTCTATTAAGGAGGCGGGAAATTTATGGAGATGGAATATCACAGCAGCACTGCTCAGGGCTGGAGGTGGGAGTGGGGATGAACTGCCAGTGGGCAAGCACTTGGGTGAGGGAGAAATTTTTAAATTAGATCGTGGTGATGGGTGCACACAGTATCAATTTAATAAAACATCAAATTGCATACATTTTCAGTGGGCAAACTTTATGATGGGTTCATGCCCAATATAGGTGTTAAAAATAAATGTTATGAAAATTCTTGTCCAGTTTTTAACAAGCCAAAAGATATGCTGCTAAAGCAGCATTAATTCAAATGGTTGTCATAGATCACTTAAAAGTTTATAAGATAGTTGTCCTGTAAATATATGGTGAATATTATCCATGAATTTCCTCAATCTATTGTAATAATCACATTGTTTCTCCATTAACCTCTTGAGTTAGCTACTTTACTGCATTTTCAATGTTAATACACCATTTCATATTTTGAGATTAACTTGCATTAGTCAGAATTTACAGTATTTTAAAATATCACAGGATTTAATTTACCTTATCTGGTTTTGGTTTCAAGACTATGCTAGCCATTTCATTTAATTGTTCATGTAGGGTATTCTAATTCATGGAAAAGCATTACATCTTCCTTGATTTTTTTTTTAAGAAACTACTTCTAGGGATTTATATGAGGTACAGTCAGTCCACGGAGAATTGTTTTAATTCTTCATTCATGTCTTCAGTGGGTATACGGTTGGTCATATTGCTCATATTTTTCTGCTTGGATTTCAATAGGAAACTTGTGGAAGATCCTGAAGGGTGGCATCTTTGAGGGAGCCTGAGACAGAGCGAGACAAGCTAAGAAGGAGGGCAGTGCCACAGCAGAACTGCTATTGATGCCCCCTCACCTAGATTCCAGAAGAGACATCCAGCTATAGACACTGAGGTGCAGGAAAACAGTGGAGCACCCAGCACCCATTAGAGAAAGCAGTGCCCAAGAACATGGAGGCACTGATGGTGGCAAGGGGAAAAGACAGCTGCCATGAGGCTGTTCTCATGAGGGTCTCAGGCTGCACAGACACCCACATTGGCTGACGGGTACTGGTTTTCATAAGGGTGTGGCTCAGCCAGGCCACCAACAAGCAGTTAACAAACAGTAGTAATACGACACTTCCAAAGACCTTACTTGAGTAACACGGTGATCCTCACAAATTTCCAATCACGACGGTCGCACAGTTCCTTCTGTTTTAGGACACAGAGCCTGCCCGTGTCTGTCCTGTCTGTTGACCACGGGTCAGAGGTACAGGCTGCACTGGGGAGTAAGAATGTCACCTTCTCAACTTTGGGAAAACTCCCTGCTAGAACTGAGAATGGCCCTTTCTAAGCAGAAGGCAAGTTCAGACTAAAGGAGGAGGCAGGCCGGGCGCGGTGGCTCAAGCCTGTAATCCCAGCCCTCTGGGAGGCCGAGACGGGCGGATCACGAGGTCAGGAGATTGAGACCATTCTGGCTAACACGGTGAAACCCCATCTCTACTAAAAAGTACAAAAAACTAGCCGGGCGAGGTGACGGGTGCCTGTAGTCCCAGTTACTCGGGAGGCTGAGGCAGGAGAATGGCGTAAACCCGGGAGGCAGAGCTTGCAGTGAGCTGAGATCCGGCCACTGCACTCCAGCCTGGGCGACAGAGTGAGACTCCATCTCAAAAAAAAAAAAAAAGGGAGGAGGCCGACCACATCCGGTTGGCAAATTACCAAACATTCATTCAAGGAGAGCCCACATCCTGGGCCATCTTGGGTGGTGGCAAGATGAGAGATCACCGCTTTTGCAACACATACCTGATAACAAAAAATCAACTGTAAAAGCCAGAAAAATCCCCCAATATTTGCAAATTAGCATTGCACTTTTAAATAACTCATGGGTTAAAAAAGAAGTCTCAATAGAAAGTTAAAAATACCTTTAACTACCTTAAATGAAAATGTGACTTGACAAGATTTCTAGATGTAACAAAAGCAGTCCGTAGAGGGAAATTTATAGCATTGGATGCAATATATTAAAAATCACAAGATCTAAAATCAGTAATATCATGTTTCAAGTAGGAAACTGTAGAAAATAAAGGAATGCAATGTAAAGCAAGGAGAACACGTAATAAACAACATTGCAGAAGTCAATAAAATTAAAACGCTGAAATCATTAAAAAATCATTAAAATTTTTAAAATCAGAAAATCATTAAAACCAAAAGCTGGTTCTTTGACATGCTTATTACAATGAAGGAACTTCTATGCAAGCTAACCAAGAAAAAGGTGGTAACAAAAATGACCAATTTCAGAAATAATCGAGGAGCCATCTCGACTGAACCATTGAGCACTAAAAGGATAATCAGGGAGTATCATGAACAATTCTGTGACCAGAGTTCAATAACCTCAGTGAAATGTGTCAGGTCCTTGAAAGACACTCTTCCCAAGGTCACAATAGAATCCTAGATCATTTGAATAAGCTCGTGTCTATTAAATAAGTTGAATTCACATTAAGAGCATTCCGAAAAGGAAAGCACCAGACTAGGATGGTTTCTCTCATGAAATCTACCAAATTCTTCAAGAGGTAAATAAAGACAGAAATCCATTTAATGCAGTATTATTTGGTGATTTAATATGCATTTTATGCCATTAAGGCATAAAAAAGACAAGAAGGAAGCTTAAATATGTATCAATTTAGTGAAATACATTTATCTGAAAAACCTACATATGATTCCAACTATATGACATTCTGGAAAAGGCAAAA